GGGCAGCACCGGGCAGCACCGGGCAGCACTGGGCAGTGGGCAGCAGCAGGAGGTTTTAACTAACTGCGGGGGGGGGCAAAGCTCAGCAGGGGGCGCGGGAGAAGCCAGGGAACAGCAGCTCACAGTCTGGCGGACTCCGCTGGGCACGGTGGGCAGCCTGGCAGCAGGGAGACACGTCTCAGACGCACTCGTGTGCTTGGGCAAAGTTCGAGGCCAAACTTGTGGCTGACTGTGAGAGGCTGGGTGGGGTCCCGGTCCGCAGAAGCGGAGGTTTCCACACGGGGTTTGAGCGTAGACTGCTAAGTGCTGTGTCAGGTTAGTCCACCCTGAAGCCGGCGGGCGAACTGCCCAACAGGTGACGTTAGAACCCCCGGGAGAGGCCAGTTTCCTCCTGAAATGTGGGTACGACCTGCTTGGGCAGAGAGGCCGTAACTCAGGAGTCTCGGTGCAGCTGGACTGACAGTTCCTGTGCCGTGACCACTGAGTGTCACCGCGCCAGGATACCTGTCGCTCTCTTCCAAGGCAGGCGGCCTCCGCCCCAGCTGCCTTCGCCCGGTCCTCTCAGACCTGCGCGGCCTTGCAGGGACACCAGGCTCAGGCCTGGTGTCTGTCACGAGTCCTTGTCGCGAATAATTGCTTTCCTGAGCTCTCATGACTTCTCCATGTTTTCACGCCCAGCCTGAGCCGGCAGGTGGGGGCCCCTCTCCCCTCGTCTGGGGAGATCACTGGGTAGGACAGAGGCCTGGCAGCTCTTCACCTGGATTTTCATAGCTTTGCCTTTCATGTGCCGCCTTCCGGGTAAACATCACAGACGGGAGTCTGCGGGCCAGTGTTGGGGCTGGGGCTCCCCTTTTGTTGAGTCCTCATTTCTGTGACTGTAATCTTCATTTCAGAGACTTCTGATTAAATTGATAATCTATTTCACAACTTCCTATTCATTTATGAGGATGTTATTCCATTATATTGTTTTATTTTTTAATTCTCTTGGTTCTATTTTAAGTTTTTAAAAAAGATTTATTCATTTATGCATACGGAGTTGGGGTATAGGCCAGAGGCGCAGGTGAGAGGATTCACCAGAGACAGAGGTGGGGAGCAGAACAGGCAGCTTGACTGAAGTACACTGCTGAGGGGAGACAGGGGCCTGCTGCACCCTGGGGTCCCTCCCTGGCCGGGGAACCCGGGCTGCAGTGGCTGTGACTGACGGCTTCATAATGCGGTGCTTCAACCCGCTGCCACCAGGGAGTGGCCCATTATTTTAATTTCTTTGTCACTGTTGATTCTGTTGCTTTCTGGGGGTCTTATTTACGCAGAGTGCGGCAGACACAGGCTCTATGCTGCGTGGCACCTCCTTGAGCTGCTCTGCAGGCGACAGCGAGCAGTGAGCAGCGCTGTTGTGCCCCAGCCCGCTGAGAGCCCAGACCCAGACTCTGGTCTCAGCTGGACGCAATATTTCAGTGCAATACATCCCTGCCAGTGACGGCCACGGAGAGTTCTATTTCCAAACCACTCAGAGGGAAGAAGTGGAATAAAGCAAAACAAATCTGATGAAATACAGGAAAGGGAACAGGAGGTGGCCTTGAGATAGGTTGTGAAAGAGGGTACACACCCAGCCCCCAGTAACCAGAGCTGGTGCTAATGGCACGTCCATCTGGTAGTGAATTAGGCCGAGAGGGAGCAGGCGAAGGAGCCACTCGTCCCGGCTGGAGCTCGCAGGCCCGAGGGCACACACAGGGCTCGCCTGCACTCGGGGGCTCTCGGCAGCTCGAGGACCCGCTACCTGACGCAGTGAGGGCATCTCGCCCCGCCAGCGGGTGTGCTCGGAACGGAAGACGGAGCTCGGAGCGGGAAGCAGGACTCCAGAAGGGCGTCTCCGTGCCGTGAGGCGGGCTGGGCCCAGCCGTCTCAGCTCCTCGCACTCCCTCTCAGTTCCTGTCTCTCGCCAGCCACAGACTTGGCTTCCCGCTCCTCCCAGCCCTCCGCTCCGCACTGTGCGGTCCTTAGACAGCCGTCACCCCGCCCTTGCTTGGTCTTCCGCCCCCTCTCCAGCTCCCGCCCCGCACGACACCCCTCACACGCCATGGCCCTGCCTATTTCTTTACTTATTCCCTGTCTCTGCTGGACAAAAAAGAAACTCTGTCTTGTTTCCCGCTGTCTCGTGGCGTCCTCTGAGGAGGGTTTGCAGGAGATAGATGCGCGACGCTGAAACCCCCGGCCGGCCGGGGCCTACCTCCTCTCGGTACTCCTTGCCGTAGGTCTTCTTCCACAGGTGCCAGTGGTGATCCAGAGTGGCGTCTGTAAGCGGCTGTGCCGCTGCCAGGGGGCAGGCCAGGAGCACCCAGACCAGCCACTTCACCCTGCTGAAGAAGGGGCACAGGAAGAGCGTGGAGCCGCTGCGGAGCCCCGCGCACAAGTGACCCCGCAGCCGCCTCTCGGGGCTGTGCTGTCGCAGGTGATGCGCGCTCGGAGAGGAAACGCCAGCTCCGAGGCTTAGCTCACCCCAGCAACAGAGTTCTGGACATCTGCGTCCCGGCAGCCAAGCTGACATCCAGATGCCCTGGGAGGGAAGTAGAGGATTTCCAGGGGTGGCAAACAAATACCACCCAGGGAAATCCTGTTTCCTCCTTTTTTGTTGAAAAAAAATCCCTAAGGGTCCCCCCTGGTGGCACGAGGCGCTGAGACCAGCACTGTGAACCTCCCGGCAGGGAGGGACCCAGGGCCAGCAGCCCCTCCGGCCTCCCGGCTGCCCCCCAGCAGTGGGCTCTGGGCACCCGCCTGCTCTGCGCCCCGCTCTGTCTCTGGGGCGTCCTCTCGCCCCCGCACCCCCAGCTCTCGTGTGCATCAATAAATAAATCTTTAAAGAAATCCTTCCAAAAGAGAGAAACCTTTGAAAAATCACTGTTCTTTCTGTATAAGTCAGTATAACCACTTGTTTATTATAAATAATGCTTATATTACTTTATAATAAACATTCACATTAATATCAGAATAATATTGAAAGATATTTTATATAGTTTACAGTTAAATAACAAAATGACGCAGTAAAAGAAATATAACAGTGTACTTACGGGCAACCCCACTGTGAAATGGGTTGCCCCTGTCCTGTAACATTTACAATTATATAACCACTATAACATATATACATTTTTATCATGAAAGATATTATTAAAGAAGTTATAAAACAATGTTATTATATAAGTTATAATAACTTATAATCTTCACCTGAATTGTGGAATACCTGAGTTCTTAGCTGCTCTATTTAAATATCTGCACGCTTTGGAGGCGGCTAAAAGACAACTCGCATGTATGGTTTTCCTGTCCTTGGGTCACTTTCCTTTTTCCAGCGTTCCCCCCAACAATCAAAACACGTCCTTTAAAGGAAGCAGTTACCTAACTTCAGCAAACACCACTTGTAAGTTTAACCCAAAGAAGCTGGGCCGAAACCCAGCCACTGACCCCCCCGAATCGGGTCCATTTTCCTGTTTCCTTTGAATTCAGGGCAGCTGGAGTTAAACTCGGGTCTCACCCAGCAGCAGAGGCGCCTGCCCTGGCCTCAGGCCTGGGTGGCCACGAGACAGCGGCTTTCGAAGCGGATTCCTTCCAACCCAAAAAACGTGAGATGAAGTCAACATTTTTGGGGCTTGTTTACTTCCTAAAAGCAAAGGCTTAGAGCCTGTTGGGGTGGCAGAAGGGAAACCCACGGGGGCAGGGGGCCACGCGGGAACGGCCAGACGTACCTGCCGGGGCCCGCGGGGACTGCCATGGCGCTGGACGCTGGACGGTGGGCTCTCGCCAGGGCCTCCGAGCCGGGAAGGGGCTGCTGTCCAGCTGAGCTTAAGAAGAAGTGGAACGTGTCACATGAGGCCCTGAATGAGGAAGTGAACTTTCGTTTCAGTTTCATGTAAAGTCTGCCTGAGTCGGCTGCCTCAGCCCCCGTGGGCCCACCCCGTCGCTCCAGTGATGTCCTCTGGAGTCGGTGGGTTTGGAGAGTGGGGTCCTGGGGTTCACGCTGGGAACGGTGCCCCCAGCTCCCCTTCCAGCGGCAGGCAGCACGTTTCTCCTCCACAGAGCCATTAGTTATAGCTAAAGAGCAGTTTATTAGGGAGGACGGAGGCGTGAAGGATGCTTGTGTGGACACACGGGCAGGAAGTGCTGCCCGGAAAGGGACAGGCGAGCTGAGAGGTCGTGGTCCAGCCGGGGGCCTTGGGCGAGGGGCAGCCGCTGAGTGGTCCGTGCAGAGAAGCCGGACAGGTGCCGGTCCGGGTGGGCAGGAGGCCGCTGCCCTGCGGCAGGAGAGAGGGTGGGAAGGACGCGGCGTGGGCCGGGGGGCGGGGGGCTGGGGGTGCTGCCCGTGCCAGGGCAGAGCCTGCCTGATATAGCCGTCTTCTCCGTGGGGGGGCTCATCCCTAAGAGCCTGGGTTTGTTGCTGATTTTGAATAAACTATGTAGAGTCTGAAAGGGACAGGAGGTGGCACAAGGGGCATTTTGCATATCATTGGTGAGGCTGAACATCTTTTTACACATTAGTGACCATTTGAGTTGTCTGTGAATTGCCTGCGTATCTTTTGTTCTGCATACAGATCTGGGGTGCAGGCCAGAGGTGTGGGGGTGGGAGGGTTCCCCAGAGACAGAGTGGGGAGCACAACAGGCAGATGTACTGAAACCCACTGCTGAGGGGAGCAGCGGGGAGACATAAGGGGTCTGCTGCGCCCTGGGGGTCCCTCCGGCCGGAGATTGAAGTCATGCTGCAGCGGCTGTGGAGAGCTTCATAGTGCCGAGACTAAGCCCTGCGCCACCAGGGAGGCCCCTGCACAGGCATCTTTGAGTCAACTCTATAGCTGAGACCCCCACGGGGTAGGGAAGACTTGGACAAGCCTCCGGCCGTCCATGTCGCTGGCATCGTCCCCTGCACGTCCGCTCATGTTGTCACAATGGCCAGAGCTCATCTGTCTTTAGATCTGAGCAGGATTCTCCGGGCTGACTTGGGGACAAGAAGCGTTTGGGGATAAAGAGGCCTCCAGAACGCTCGCAGCAGCTACAGGGAGTACAGTTGTCGAAGTGCATGTCCCTGAAGACTCCACCTCAGAGCATGACAGCAGAGATGGGAAGAAGCGCGACAAGCGACGCCTCTCCAGTCTCCGCAGCAGGGTCCAGCCGCCTCTCGACGGTCACGAGTCACACGTAAAGGCGCAGCCCAGTGACACGGCTGACACAGCTGTCCCGCTGGAAGAGCCTGAACGCCCCGCAGAGCCCACATGACTTCTGAGGGCCCTTGGGATGTTGGCCACAGTGGGTCAAGGGGTACGGGGCCAGAGAGCGTCAGCATTGTCCAAGGTCTGTTCTCCAACCGGGATGCAGCTCGACCTGGCACCAAGAACAAAAGGGTGATTGTGACTTTCCTGCCTAGGTGACACACTGCTGAGTCACCCACGGGCCAGGAGCAATCACAATGGCCATGAGCAGCACGCGGAGTGAGCCCTGAGCAGGGAGTGTCGAAACGCGGGGTGCGGGGGCCGCGGGGCCCAGCAGGAAATGGCCTCCCGCCCGCGGAGCGGCGTCTGAGGCAGGCCCAGAGCCAGAGCGGAGACGCGGGACAGCTGTCTGTGGAGTCTCCCCGGCTGCCCAGAGTCCCGCCCCGGGTCCTTGCAGCTTGCCAAGAGATAAACCCTTTTTGTCGTTTGTCTTAACTGGATTTTTAAAAATATTGATTTATCTATGCAGAGAGAACTGGGGTACAGGCCAGAGGTGGGGGGTTGGGTGACAGGATTCACCAGAAACAGAGTGGGGAGCAGAACAGGCCGACGGACTGAAACACACCGCTGAGGGGCAGCGGGGAGACAGGAGGGGTCTGCTGCGCCCCGAGGGTCCCTCCCTGGCCGGGGATCGAGCTCAGGCCGCAGCGGCTGGAAACAGCTTGAGAGCGCTGAGACAACCCTGCGCCACCACGGAGGCCCTTAGGGATTCATTTTAAAAGGTGTCTGGAGCAACACATAACCTCATAGAGATCCAGACAGAACTTTCCGCGGCGCTCGGGAGGTGCTGGCCTCGCCGAATCGCGCTGCGGCTACAAGCCCCGGCCAGCTCAGGGCGGAGCACGTGCTGCAGGCTGCGGCGTGGCTCGAGATTTCCCTCGGCCCCACTAGGTCCTCTCTGTTCTGTGAGGTCCTGAGGCTTTGAGTAGACGCTTTTTCTATTTTTCCAGTTTTTCCAGAAGACAGATACCGGCAAGTTGGCCTACGTCACCCAGTTCACCACACTGAGGGCGAGCCCGGTGCGCTCCCTGGTGCTGCCCGCAGCCAGAAGGTGCTGTCCAGCAGCCATGCAATCGAGTCCCAGAGTAACTTTGAGTTCTCTTGCAGCCACATTTGAAAGGACAAAAAAGCAGAGCAATAAGTAAAAATAATCTAAAGTTCTATCTCACCGAACACTTAACAAAATATAATCATTTCAGCATGTAATAATCAAGACAATCATCATCACCACCCACAAATGATTGAGGCTCCCCCTGCAGTGTCTTCTGCTCACGGCCCATCGCTGCGGGCTCGGCCCATTTGTCCGTGGCCACCTGTGATTCCTGGTCACCACGCTGGACAGGCAGTTCTCCCGGCCCTCGGCAAGTCTCTTAAAACAGATCTGGTTAAATACCTTCTCTCTCAAAGTCTTTAACAACTCCAGATTGCCTAGTGATTTAAGAGCAAGTTCTTACCCGAGTATCCAGATTCTGTAACAGAAAGGTTTCACCTGAGACTTCCGGGTTCCTGTCAGAAATCAGAAAGTTGCTACTCCAGCCTAACAGTCAAAGGCTGAATGAAGAAAGAATTCAGTTACTACTTTTAGATCCAGAAGAGAAGTCACAGAGCAGACCACTACCCTTAAAACTGGAGCGGTTGACAGATTCATGCAATCATTACTTACCTCTCACCTGCTGCTGGTGGGAGGCAAAATGATAAAATCAGTTCACAAGACAGCTCGAGATGGCTTGCCAAACTCCATACGCCTTATCACGCAATCAGCACCCTCTGGTGTTTACTCAAGGAAAAAGGTGAAAACTTGTATCAACACCAAGATCCATGCACAGGTGTTTACAGTGGTTTTGTTTGTAACTGTCAAAACCGGGAAGCAAACACGATGTTCCTCAGTAGGTGACTGGATAGGCAGTGGTACACCCAGCAATGGAGTATTACTCAGCACTAAAAAAGAACACTACAAGCCACGGAGGTGTGGAGGGAACGTAAACGCATGTTGCCAGGTGAAAGAAGCCCGTGTGGAAGGGCTGCACAGCACATGATTCCAACCGCGTTTCTGGGAAAGGCAAGACTGTGGAGACAGCAGAAAGGCCAGTGGCTGTGGGCTGGGAGAGGGAGGAACAGCAGGGCAGAGGGTTCTTCGGCAGACGAGCTCCTTTACGCCGCCATAATGATGGAGCAGGCCAGACCCACAGAATGTGCACGTGTGCATCCTCACATACGCGCTGGTGACGGGGAGGCTCTTCTGGTAATGCACCTGCATCATTTGCAGCCTGTGTACCATCTGGGGTGCTGGTAACGGAGCGGCTGTGCCCTAAAACTTCTGTCAACCTAAAACTTCCCTGAAAAAAATCCATTTTTTAAGAAAGATTTATTTATTTGTGCATACAGAGCTGGGGTATAGGCCAGAGGTGCAGAGGCCGTGAGAGGGTTCATCAGAGACAGAGTGGGGAGCAGAGCCGGCGGACTGAGGAAGCACACTGCTGAGGGGAGCAGCGGGCGGGTCAGGAGACGTCTGCCGCGCCCTGTGGTCACCTCCGGGGCAGGCGGGGGTCAAACTCATGCTGAAGTGGCTTCAGCTTCTTAGTGCTGCACTTTAACCCGCTGCGCCACCAGGGAGGGCCCAACGTCCATTTTTTAAAAAGAAGCGTTCGCCTATCATGACGGCTTTGTTTCTGCTATTGCTGGAGGCCAGCGCCTGAGCCCCCAGCCTCCCTGTTGAGGCCGGTCTCCACTATGACGGTATCTGGGAATGTTTAGGCCACGGGGTGGGGGGCCCTTCCCCGAGAGCACCTCGGCCCCTCTGGCCTGGGAGGGGTCAGTGAAAAGGCAACTTCTGTGAATAGAAAGGGCCCCCCTCCCCCCAAATCCACTGGCATCGTGACCTTGGACTTCCCGGCCCCCCAAACAGTGAGAAATGGACTGCCCTGCTCTAAGCCCCCGCTCGTGGCATTCTGTGACAGACCAGACTCAGGCCACGTATCCGCGACATGAATTTTGATATTCAAAGCATCTCGTCCCCTTGTTACCCGCCACCCTTTGTTACTGTGACAGTCCCAGCTAACACCTGCGGGTAGCATTCATTTGCCACTGAATGTGTATTCTTAGCAGTAACTCTGAGACTATTTAACTTACACAACTATGACTTGATCTGCCAGAGGAGAGGCCAAGTAGCTGAGAGGCTACACACCCCGTCGCCAGGACGGACAGCGCCGGCTGACCGGGCCCGCCGGGCTTCCCGTCTCATGCTGCCACCACTGTCCACCCTTCCTTCGCTCGCGATGCCTGTCCCGAGCTGTCCTCCTGGCGGCCATCGAGAAGACAGCTCTTTCAAGACAGCGCCGCCGTGTCTCCCGCTGGGAGACGCTGCG